ACACACTTATAGATACATACATATATATTTTGTTCGCTCGCTTTATTTCTTTCTTTTCTGCGCTCTGCCAGGGACAGCCATATAACAGACTTGGCTCCAGCAACTAAATGAAAGATGATGAATTTATTAAATTCTCTCCATGTGGATAACATAGACAAGGCACGGACTGAGGGGGCGGGGCGGTGTCTAGAGGCTGGCGGCTCAGCCCACTGAGCTGCGACATAATAAATATTATGCAATTCTATGCTCGAAGAGGCGCAACTGCAATCTGTTTATCTTAGGACGGGCATTGCAAACATTTACAAATTCTCAATACTTTAACAAGAAACAAGAAAAATAATAAAATTTTTTCAAAATTATAATTGTGTATCAAGTGAAATGACAGACAGACCCATTGTAGTCCATGTTGCAATAGCAATTTATTTTATTTCCAAATCATTTAGCTTCACATCTGCTAAAATCTCTTCACAGGGCTTTAAGAAATTTTTATGCGACCTGGCCTAAAATTTGCATTTTCAATCTGCCTCTGGCTCTCAGTTGCCCTTGCTTCAGTCTCCCTCCCTCTCCCCCTCCTACTGCGAATCCGATTCGTCTAATACCTGCATAGAAAAGCAAACTTTGTTGCCTCTGACCCGTCGCTTGAATGTTTTAATCTTTTGTATGCCGCCGATTTTTATGTAACTTGCATACGCTGAACAAATTCTTTGCCAACAAAATACAAAGAAAGTCCAACAACAACAGCAACAGCAACAAAACCAGAAGAAAATGAAAATGAAAAGTTTTTAACGCGGCTAACTCGACGCATTTGGATAATAAGGAATGTAAATGGAGCAAATTGCTTGGCCAAAAGGTAAAATTTCATAAATTTCAAACAAAAAGAAGACATATATATATACATACGCACATACACATATATATGTGTGTATATTTAAATGTGTGTGCATAAAAGAAAAAGCCGAATGGCTCGTAACTTTTTTTCCGCAACTTGAAGAAACAATCGTAAAAATCGCGCAGTGTCATTAATCTGAGGACTTTCCAAACCCCCGGCAGCAGTGCCAAAGTTTTCGGCTCGCCCCGCCCACAATTGATGTTATAAAAGCGTTTAGCCTTAATTGTTGGGGCGTTAAAGGTTATTGTTGTTGTTGTTGTTGTTGTTGCCGTGTGCAACGATTTGTTTTTCCTTTACGCATTTTTCTCGGCATTTTGCGCTGTCATCATAAAAAAACAAGACGCTCACAAAGGTGTGTATGTGTGTGTGTGTGTGTGTAAGTGCGTAAAAAAAAGACGAAATCAAAAACATTTTTGTGGATTGAACGCTTTTGGCTTGGTTATGGAACGGGCTCTGTGGGTCCGTCATCTTGTGCTTAGCGAGTCTGGAAACTGTTTTTAATGACCAAATATTAAAATAAAAGGTGCTCTTGCTGCCTTTTTGGCCCGCACCGTTCGGTTCAGTTCGCTTTTCTGGCCTTTTGTTTATGGCCAAGGCCCATGGCGCGACGGTCTTATGACACTTTTCATTTGCCGCTGCATAATGAAAAATTAAATTAATGAACGCACATTTAAGAGCGGATGGAAATATATCCCAGTAGACCCAACAACAACAACAACAACAACACTATATATTTATGTGCATAAAAAAAAATCGGGGAAACAAGAAGCAGCATAGAAACCAACCTCAGCCTTAGCTTTC